GGCCGGGTCCATCGGCTGTCGGCGCCGCCGCCGTTGCCACCTTCCGCTGGGACAGCGGATGGAGCCGGCTCCCTGGGAGCCGGAGGGCGGCGGGGACGGGGGAGCGGGGCAGGCGCAGACATGGACACGGCCGGCGCGCAGAGCCAGGTAGTGGGCTATCGGGATAGCTAGGCTCTCTGCTACCTCCTGTGGGCTCTACCTATCGATGTGCAGAGGTCTAGGTCTATATTCATGGCATTTTATATATATACGGATGCTCCAGAACATCCCCACTCTCTAGAAATGTTAATATTTGAAAGGTTGTTTAACAAGCAGTGTTGTTTTTCAGGTGTACAAAATGCCCCAGTAGTATCATGTATGTAGAAAACGGCAACACCCTGTGTTATGTACAGTGTGCCCTGAAATAAAATACACACCATGTTTTTGGAAGGAATGAAGAAAAGTTTTTCCAGTTACAGATTCATAGAGTAGGACCTGACCCACCCACCCTTTTCTCCTTATGTTCCTGTTCAGGCTAACAGGAGAAGCTAGCAAATAGCAAAATTCCGCTGAGAAAGGTTGGCTTGATTAGTGAAACATGAAGAGCATCAGAAAGGAGAGAGGACTCCATATTAAGACCCGTGGAGTGAAGAACTGTGGGCCATTAAGTCAATTTACTTCCTCAGCTGCCTGAATAGTAATACTACTGCACTGTGGACTGTGAAGCACAGCAGGATGGTTCTATCCCAGGCAGACGATCAGCTTTCTTAATATACGTACCCTGGTTTTAGGGAGCTGATTTTTGGGGAGGTGAAGTGAATATTGTATATGCAAAATATGGTATGTTAAATGAAAGTCATAGGAGATCTATCTGCTCTTATTGCTCAAGGTTACACAGAGTCCAGTCTCTCGCTCTGATAAGCAGTCACATTATAAAAGCATTCCAGCATGCTCAGAGCTGGCAGTTTAGGGTGTCTTCAGGGCATCCTTACTGAGTCATTGCATTTTTTTTTTTAAATATTTCTCAACTTCAGCAGGAGCAAACAATTTAGGCATGAGTAAATACACCAATATTGTGTGCTAGTCGTTACATCCACTTAGACCAGTGGGGGCCAAACTGTTTGACAGGTGTCCCACAAATTAGCCCTGTCTCCTCCCTGAGTATTAATCTGATCCCCTTCCCCTTTTCCTCCCCTGCCTAATCTGTTTCTGTCCCCAGCCCGATCTGCTCTGTCTTCTGCTTCCTGCCCTATCTGCTGCTGTACTGCTTGTCCCCTCCCTGATCTGCCCCATGCCACACAGAGGGTATCCATGCCACTTGAGGCATGCCACCCCTGACTTAGATTGTGATTGCTCACTTTGGTGATCAATGAAAGGAACGTTGACACCTCTAGATTTTGTAATAAAATACGCATACACCCACATACAACATGAATTTTCAAAAACTTCTTAAGGGAACTTCAGTACCTGGATGGATCCTCTTATATCCCAATGCAGATTGGGTGACTCACTCACTCCCTTCTTTATAAAGCTGGAATTTTCACAACCTAAGGCCAACAGGAGGCTTCCATACATTGGGGAGAGAAGGATGATTCCCAACAAAAATTACAAGCCAAATGTGACAGCTTTCTAACTAGAAACCACTTGAATAATAACTACAGAGGTAAAGCCAAAAATCTTCCTTGGTTTGCTTTGGTTTACATCCAGTGAGTAATCTTACACTACCCAGAAAAAAAAAAAAGCCTCTAGGAAGGCTTATTTTACCATAGTTCACCTAGAATAGCAATGGTTTCTGTGACCTGTGTCTTCTTCCCTTGAAAAACGTCTGTCCCTTGCCTAACTCTGCCCTCTCCTCTGGAATGAAAAGAAGTCCGCTATTCCGCTTTTAGGCATACTGGATCAGTATGTAATACATCTAATAGTCTTAATTTATTGTATAGTTTAGCCTTACTGTCTTTTGTAACTAACTGCTATATATAACTGGCTAGAAAATGTAAAGGGGAAGCAGATGTCAAAGGGCTGTTAATAGAAGCCTTGAAAGTGACTGGAGCTAATCAACATGGGACTGTTAATACCACAGTGCTTTGTACTTAAGCCTAGTTTACAGCACTGTCAATGCCAATATTGACTTGTTCCAGTCTTTTTCAAGACGGTTAATGCCAGAGCACTGTGTACAAGGGTGTAGGTTGTAGCCGTATTGGTCTAAGGACATAGGCAGACAAGGTTCTTTAGGTAAATTTGATATCTTTTATTGGATCAACTAAATAGTTGGAAAAAGTTTTCTTAGCAAGCTTTCAGGTTTAAAAACCGTTCATCAGGCTGAAGATGCATGTGTATTGATTATTAAGGACAGGTAAGCGTAGTCTTTCCTGAAAAGTGTTTAAGCTTCCCTAGTGAATTATGAGATGAGTCCAGTGTCCCCCACCATCACTATAAAATGGCATGCTTTTAAATGTTTGTTTGGAGAGGTTGACAGTAAAGAGGAAACACCGCTTGACATTTTCAGGCTGCTGCAAGTTTGAAAGTTAAATATTTGTAAGGCTTTTTTTTTTTGCAGTGAAGTAAGACTTTTCCAACTGAGCTCCAGAAACACAGGCGAAATTAAAAAAAGAAGAATCACAGACCCACACATTTTCTTTGCTTAGCTTTACGAAAGGGAAGTAGCAGATGAAGCATGGTTGCTAAGCTAAACTGTGTCTGCACTTTTGGTTCTTCTACCATTGGTCTAGAATGGTGGTTCTCAACCTTTATAGACTGCAGACTCCCCTCATTAGATTCAGGACCCCCCCCCAGAAAATGCCAGTTCTTAGCTTTCACTTGTTTTTTGACTATGGAAAAACAATAGAGCGATTCTTTTGTTGCAGAGAACTTATAAAAATCATACCAGGTCAGAATGACTCCAACACTATGGATTCTTACTTGAAATCTTTTGGTTTATCCTGTAAATCATGTTTGCACACCTAACAGTATTAACATTGTATGGTACCCCACAGAACCTTTCAAAGGATCTCAAGGCACCCCAGGGTGCTGCAGAACCCTGGTTCAGAATCACTGGTCTAGAATGCTTGGTACATCATGATCTCAATGGTGGAATGACCCATGTCGACCAGGTGAAAGTTGATTTTTTTTTAAAAATTTCATTTAATTTAACCTAGCTAGCTAGCTTACCTGTTCTCTAGTATATGTATACCAGCCTCTGGCTTCTTTACTATTCATTCCATGCAGGAAGAGAGCACACCAATTGCAGATGCTTCCTCAGCCTGACATTAACCCAAAAGCTTGCAGAGAAGATTTTTTTTCCAACTATTTGAGTTGGTCTAATAAAATATTCCAGATTTCCCCAAAGAACCTTGTCTGCCTATGTCCTTAGACCAACACATACCCCTGTTCTCTAGTAACACTTCTGCTTGTGCTGCCATGAGTGGAGTTGCCATTAGGCTATTCCAGCAATGGAAGGGAAGTAGTAATGTGGATGAGGCTTTATTGACCTGAACTGGCTGAATAGTTAGCAATTAGGATGGTGGGGAGTGAAGGAAAGGGTACAAAATCCCTACAAGTGGAGTTAATAAGCATAGACCCATCATGTCTGAGTACCTGAAATCTATTCAGCTGATCTGTTACAAAAATAAATTAGGGAAAGTCTTGTTATGTCATAAAAAGATACTGATTTTTTTTTTTTGCTAAATGACTCAAATTTTAGTAAGAGATGTTGTGTTTTCTAGTTGCAGAGCAGATCCAGGTGGATAGTCACCCGACATTTCAAGGTACAGTACAGGTTGCTGCTCTCATACTGCATCTAGCTGAAAAATAGGATTGTGAGATGTGCAAGTGTGATAAGATGGGAAGAGGGCTCAGTTGGACCTAATCATCATTAACAGCTTTAGCACATGAGTCCAGCCCTCTCTCCCATGTGCAGCCAGTACTTTGACTGACTTCAGTGGGAGCTTTGGGTATATTAAAATAACTTGTGTATTGTGCACAGTTCAGCAAAAGAAAGTGGTGTTCATGTTTCTGAATGTCACCTGTTAGTTACATCTAGATCAGTTCACTGAGGGGCTATAATAACCAGACAGATAACAGTTCATCATTTCTGTATGCTGGGATCAAGATTATACACATGTAAATTGTGTGTGCCTTTGTATATTTTCCAATTTTAAAAATCTAGTTCATAAGGACTGTAATTAAGAATGGCCTCCAGAAGTGACCCCTGTAAGATCATGCACTCAAATAAATTTCAGCAGAAATTGGAGGACTGTATGCCTCATCATTTGCCTTATGCGTAAGTTGCTTGTTCACTTTACAAGTGCATTTGCAAATAGATACACAGGCAAGTTTAAATGTGAAACTTTGCTCTTGATACTTCTGATTACATGTACCTTTACATGATACAGTTCAATAACCTTTTGTTTCTCTCTTTTTTATAGCTGAAGAGAAAAACATTATAGAAAAAGATTCCCTTGATAAAAGGTAAAAGGTCTTTGTTTTAAGCAGGATGACTAATGATGGTAATGGCAGAGTCCTGCAGAAAAGACTTCTAGCGAGCAGGAAAGTGAAACTAAAAGCCATTTATTTAAATGAGTTGGGGTTTCTAAGTCTGTGGTAAGAGTCCAAGTGGAGCACCCATGAAGCAAACACTAACATAACAGATGTCTCAAACCTGAGTAACACTGGAACGCGCATAAGCATTACTCTGTTGTGAAGGTGTCCAGAGGCGAGGCTGGGTTTGTGATTTTGTTCTGCTAGGCTCTGTACGTATATACACATCAAGGAAAAACTACTTGATCTCTGATCTAAATCACTTAAATCTAAAATAGACTAAAGCAGACAAAGGAGAAGAGATGGGAACATACCAGGCAGCCTGGCCCTAGCAAACTCCAGTTCTCTTTCCTCTGAACCCACATTGCTAGAGAGGATCAGGGTCGTTTGCTGTTTGTTTCGAAGGTCCATAGTAGGAACTGATTGAACCATGCACTTTGGTTTTACTTTTTGTTACAGAGATTGCTCTGCCTTCAGAGGTGACCACTCTCTTTCTGTAGCTTGTAAGAAGCAATTGCTGTATATCAGGTGTAACACAGATTGGGGAGACAAATATAAGGCAAAACACTGTATTATAAGAACCATAGTGGAGACATCATGGGCTATTCCTCATAACCCAGTTCTTTGGAAATTGAGCAGCTGTTGAAATTATGTCAGTGCATAATTTTTCAGTAGACTATTTGAATTTGAAATAGTAATTCCAATTATAACTTCATGGAGGAGTGAAGGGAACTATATATAAATATAGCTGGTGCCAGACAGACATATGCTATGATGTCTGGAACAAATTCTGTGAGAAATGCATATAAGGAGTAACATGCATCATATGATATTTGTTTCAATGTATTTGTACCCTCTTGTGTGCTAAGTGCTTTCCAGACATTCAAGTCATAGAGTGGATATTTGATTGGAGGTCACCACAATCCAAGGCGTGAGAGATGACCAACAAATTGTGAATTATTTATATAAATATACTAGAAATAGGAAAGCAAAGCTGAAAGAGATCCAACAAAGTCATCTAGCTCAGGCCTCTGTTCAAAGTAGGATCATACCTGGCTAAACTAGCCCAGGCAAGTGTCTGTCCAACCATGAAAATTTCCAGGGATGGAGATTCCACAACTTCTTGAGGTAGCCTGTTCCAATGCTTGACTACACTTGTAGCTAAAAAGTTGTTCCTAATTTCCAACTTAAATTTCCTCTGTTGCAGTTTGAGATCATGGCTCCTAGTCATGTTTGTTATGGCCAAAAAAAATAGTCTATCTTCTTCCTTCTTATAATTGCCTTTCAGTTTTTTGAGTCATATTCCAAGACTCAAGTGGCTTTGGTTATGTTTAGAGCAGCTCACAATATTTTAATTGCAACCCTGTTTGAATTGCTAGAACCAGTAGTATATGTATATTTCTATACATTTGCTTAATCCAAGAGGTTACTAGATCTACGCATATATAATATTTATGTATATATGAAGTAAAGTTGTTCAAAGCATTGGTGAGACCAAATCTGGAATATTGTGTACAGTTCTGATTGCCCATGGGTAAGAAAAATTAACTGAAACAGATACAGAAAAGGATTAGGAGGATGACTGAGGGACTGGAGAGCCTGCATTACAATGTGAGACAGAGACCTTCACTTGCTTATCCTAGTGAAAAGAAAAGTGAGAGGGGACTGCTGTCTATAAATACATCGGGGCAAAGGAGCAACTTAAACAAAAGGAAAATGATGGAACATGTTTAAACAAGTTTGAACTGCCGTGAATACTAGGTTGGAAATTAGAAGTGGGTTGCTGACCATGAGGACAGTGAGGTACTGGAACAGCTTTCCAATTGGAGTAGTAGAGGCAAACAACATGACTGCATAAAATGGAGCTCAGTTAATTCATGGATGGGCTTTTTCTGCTCCCTCTTGGAAGTAGCGGTGTAGGAAGCAGCAGCTAAAAAGAAGCAGGCAGCAATGACTTAGCACTAGGTCATGTCATACAGTACTGCTGGTAAGCAAGAGTTGACAACTGTGGCAGCCAAGGTTAGGTTGCACTGCCCTGGAGTTAGCTCTATCCCTGGTAGTTACTTTTGGCAGGGTAGGGATGCTTTTTCATCTCTGGTATGTTTACTTTTGGTCCCAGTTTTCAGAGTACTGTGTGCTCTTCTTAGCATTTAATGATAGCAGTTCATTGCATGTATTTGAAAAGCATAGATCTTCTGTAAGAATTTTCCTTGACTAGCTTCTGATGAAAGTCCTTCACAAAGTAGTTTTTTTTTTACATTATGTTTTGCTTCTATTATTATTTATATTTTCTAAGATACTGTGAAGCTTCTTGAGATACAGATTTTACAAAGAGCACACAGGGAACTCAAGTTAGGGTCATAAAAAGTCACTAGGGGCATTTATACACATGCTCCAGGAGGCATGTGTGTGTGTGGGTGCGTTAATTAGGGTGGCTCCAAGCATGCAGAGTGTCCTGTGTGTCAGCATCCTTGCACTGAAAAATGGCAACAGTGGCACTTTAACTAAAACTCATTGAACAAGCTTTAGGTAAAGTGCCCCTGCCGCCATTTTTCAGCATAAGGACACTGAGACATGCAATGCTGGAGTCTGCGTGGTAAGTACTATGCTCCAGCAGACTCAATCAAGTCTGCTCTGACACACCATAATTAAAGTGTGTTGGAGCAACCTTGCTGCACATGTATAGGTGCCCAAAGTTCCTAACTGTTGGTTGAAGAAAAAAAAAAAAGGAGGGACATGCTCGTTTTCCTGATCTTTTTTCTGAGTACTGAGCATAATGATGCTGACTATTGCTGACCTATAACTAACAACACTGTGTTTTCACTAGGCTGGAATTTACTTAGATTTCAGTAACTTTTTTTGGAAAAGAATGATAAATGGCCTCTGGAATTTTAAGAAACCTAAATGTATCCAAGCAGTACTGAGTTAAAATAAGCCTGACTAAAAGAATAAAGTGGATTTTATTTATTATACTGAGTGCTTGGTTACTAAACTGAGTTAGACTTCTGTCAGAAAGATTCTGAACGGTCCAAACAAAAGGTCCAAACAAAACACACTATGAATGTATTGGCTTTTATCAGCAACAGCCAGCTCTTTCATGAGCTTTCAAGTGACTTATTTGACGTTCCCAAGATTGTCAAAAGTGACAAGTGATTTTTTTTGACTGCTTAACTTCTGTTGTTTTATAGGGACCTGGTTTCTAAAAAACCACCAAAGGCTTCCTTTTTGAAAATCTAGCTACTAAAATGGATTTTTAATTAAGTACCTCAAATCATTAATTATTTTTTAAAGTCTTGACCTCTGACCATACATAAGCAAATGAATATTCTTTGTAACAACAGGCAACAGTTAGATCCAGCAGCACAATACAAAATGAACCACAAGAGAAGAGGTGTTGCTTTGGTCTTCAATCACGAACGTTTCAACTGGCATTTAATGCTGCCAGATAGACGTGGGACATTTGCAGACAGAGAAAATCTGAAGCGCAGGTAAGGTATTTGATTGCTGTAAAAAAGAGATTTTATTTAAAATGAGAAATTAAATAAGAGAATCTAAATTTGAAATGATACGGCAGGCCAGGTTATATCAGCACATCTAGAATAAATTATTTTGTAGATAGAGTTGCCATATAAAGGTTCGTGTCCAAGATAGCGTATGATTAAGAGGGTTAAGGGCCTGCTTCCATTGAAGGTATAGGCAGAACTTCTATTGAAACCATGGGATTAGGATCAGATCCTCCAACAGGCTGAGGTATAGGGAGCCATAAGTAGGGAGGGGAGGACTTGACATGGAGGTCTCATTTTCATTTTTATTTTATAGTTTAGCCCAATTAGAAAAATAATAGCAGTATCTTAAGGGGAAAAATTAAAACCTGCATTATCAGTACTTAATCTGGAAAGATAAAGCAACTTGACTGTGAAATCACAGACTGCGAGAGAGACCTAAGGGCAGGCATAATATTGCTTGGCAGCAGTTCTTCAGTACATTCTAGCCAAGATGGCTGCAACGTGTCTTATCTCAGCAGCACAGCTCTGAATAGGAGATAGTAATAACTCTGCAGCTTATGGTCAGAGACTTAAGAAATAAGTTAGCCTTACACATTCCTGCTTTTCTTAGAGAACCACAGTAAGTGTAAACCAGAAACAAGGATGCGGTGGTAACAAGCTCCTATAGCAGGGGCATTGTTTGCGGTTCAGCGTAGCAATCTGATTATATATATTTTTTCACATCCTGTAGATACTTTTCCAAAGTTTTGTGACATTAAGTGATAATCCAGACTGGAAGGTACACATGCTCTAAAGTCACTGACAGCATTATCGAATATAGTAGCAAGAATGTCGTGTGCCTCAAAAGAAGTGATAGCAAACCCTCTAGCCCATCTGCAGTGAGCACACAGACAAACTCTATTTTATCCAGTAGGAACAAGCAATGCACTGCACTTACTTAAAGCCGATAAATGCATAAATAGCTTAGCCACATAAAAATGCCAGTCCCAATTTGTTGCCTATTGCTTACATTATAATAAAAAAGGGTTATCTCTGTGTTAAATACATAAACTGTTTAAGTGCATAGTATCTTTCAGTTCCACTGAGTACCTGTTAGGTTAATTGCACACCAGTTAATTAAATGCTACTAACTATAACTGTCTACTTTATAACTAACTCCTTATTACATGGGCCAGAAGCCATGAAGGAAAAGCACCTGTCAAGGGCTTCTGCTAGCAATCATAAAACTGACTATAGGCCTTCATTTTCAAAGCTTCCAACAGTAGCCTTAAAGCTGATCATTTGAAGCCTCAAAAATACAAGGGAATTAGTGGTTTCCAAGGTTGCTAGTATCACAGTGCTAATGTGTCCATGAGCATTGTCTTACCCAAACTTAAAAGTAAGCACAAAACCTTCTTCCAGTCCAGTAGCTGTGCATTTAAATTAGGGACAGGCAAAGTCCAGGCCACAGGCCAGATCAGGCCTATGGCACACTTTGTTTCCCAACAACCCCTGTCCATGTCACTGTGGCTGGTTTCCATGGAGACCGCAGCAGCAGCCCCGTGACAGCGGGCCTAGGTTTCTGTGGAGACCAGCCCCAGCAGCACTGACAGGGCATGCAGCTGGGCAGGGAGCTGCTCCGGGGCTGGGATCTTGTGGGAGTTATAGCAGCGATGAAAGCCCTGGCTGTGGAACAGCTCCCTGCCCAGCTCCATGCCCTGCCAGCGCTGCTGGGGCCTGTCTCCATGGAAACTGTGGCCCTTCACTGCTGGGGTCTCCATGGAAACCAGCCTCAGCAACGTGGGCAGGGGCTGCTGGGAAATGGAGTTTGACTGCTGGGTAGATACACCATTTTGTCCATCTCTGATTTAAATAGAGCATGCTGTCAAAAGGTGAACAGCAAGGGTGGCCATCATAGAGGACAGTCCGGTTATCCTTTGTCCTCTATTGATACAAAACTGAATGCCTTTATGTCCTCTATTTTTCTCTTGAAAACAGAAAAATAGAGGGCATAAAGGTGTTGGGTTTTGTATCACTAGAGGACAGAGTAGCAGAAAACCAGCACGTCCTCTGTGAGGGCCACCCTAGGAACAGCACAGGCTAAGCTAGTATTGATCTGAGATCTTAAAAGTAGACAGTTACACGGGTTTGGGTTTGGCACAGAGTTCACAGGGCAAGTGAGTGCACCCCCCCGCCCCCGAGTGCTATCTGCAGTGCAAATGCCATATTCCCAGAATTCTCTACTTCTCTCAGGGCATGATTTGAAGTTTACCCTTTGGCAATTCATGTTTTATTAGCCTCATGGGAGGGAAGGAGGTGGGGAGCCACATCTCAAATTGAGCCCTCTTGGTTTTTGGTTATATGAAAAGGAGAAAATATCCAAGTTAAATGTTTTGGTAGCAAAATGTTTTGTTTGGTGTGAGATGTTAACACATGTCCTTGTAGGGGTAGCTCGACTATGCATTTTCTGTTTCTCCTTATGAAAATTTCTATTGCATAAGCACATTCTCATTTTGTAAATGGCATTTCTTATAGCTCTACACCTTTTTAAGGCACTTTAGGCTATAGCATTAAGATGCTGTTACATAAAAAAGAAAAATCTGTTTTCACAAAAAAAATTCCAAAGGGAGTAAAAATCGAGTGGCATTTTTAGTATAATTTGTGAAGGATGTTTACTAATGCTGCTGTATTTAATGACAGTATGACAAACCTTGGATTTGAAGTCAAATGCTTTGATGACCTAAAAGCAGAAGAAGTGTTGCAGCACATTTTTGAAGGTAGGGAACTGTATACGTCTCTTTCTAGCTGCAGGAGATATTCTAGGTTTGATTTCCTCCATCATTGTTAAAGTTCACCTTAACCTACAATGCTGGCTTTCTGTGAAGAAGTCGTATTATATATTCTTTTGTACTAATTGGAGCTTCTTCTTCCTTGCATAAACATATTGAAATAACCAAGATGTCTCTGTGACTGACAAACATTAGTACTAAAGACTAGATCCTAGGTGGTGAGATACTTTCTGCCCTACTTAAATCCCTGAAAAAGAGATAACAAAAGGTAGGTCAGTGCTTCTGCTTGCTGCTTTGGATGCTTGAAACCCCTTTCTGTTGGGTTTCATAAACATAATAAATTCATACACTTTCTAAATACTGCTTCTCTCTTTCAGTGTCAGTGGATGACCACAGTGATGCAGACTGCTTTGTGTGCGTGTTCCTAAGCCACGGTGAAGATGATCAAGTGTATGCCTATGATGCTAAAATTAAAATTCAGATGATGACAAACATGTTCCGAGGAGACAAATGCCCAAGCCTAGTAGGAAAACCTAAGATATTTATAATTCAGGTAAGATACCTCTTCTTGAATCATACCTGTTCTTGCACCATTCTTACTATGGTACAGAAGCCAGTTCTTTTTGCATTTTCTTCTATGTAAAAGGTGACAACTGTATATCCTGGAATAGGCTTCGCTAATTTATGAAAGAATTTAAAGTCATGGCACATTAAAATCTGCTCAAATAAAGACCAGGCAACATAAATGACCAATCAGCAGCAAAGAAGACATTACCATCCGTTTTTGGAGGTGCAGGTGGCCTCCGCCTTGTTTCTGCTTGCTTGTTGCTATCTTCCGCCAGGTTTAAGAAGGGCAAGGACTGAATGGGAAAAGTCCATTAACTTTATCCGCATGCCTACATGGTTCCCTCCCAGGCTTGTTTGTTATATGAGTGGAGTTTGTTCCGCTCTAATCTTTGTTTAAATCTTTGTTGCATAAAACAATGAATTTGAGCCCTGTAGTACATCGGCTTCTGGCCTCTTAGCACAAGAAACCTGCAACCTCATGTTGCACTAAAATGGGGTTGGAATTGGTAAATGTAACTTTAAATAAGTGGCAGTGGATAGGACCTGCCAGGAGACTGTGATTGCAGCAGTCCTGGCTTCAGCTCAAAGTTGCCATTCCCATGGTAGAACCATTTAAAAAACTTTCCTTTTCTAGGTGTGAAACCTCCTTCAGGCACAGAGGCTCTCCCTGAAGCAAACTGCCTGTTATTTCATCTTAAAGATAAGCTCCATTTTGGATTTTATAGAGTAAAGGAAAGGCCAGGAAGCATGGGTGAAACCTGGTTCCTCAACTGGATGATCCAAATAGAAGGTTTTGCCATTATAGACACCCATAAAGCAAACTAGACACTTAAAAGAAACTGTGTAATTGATTTTAGGGTAAGAATTCACTTACAGCTCAAAAGCATCAATACCGTGGTGTTCCACCTTCTGTTGAAATAGTGTAGACTTCAGTGATGAAATTTTGTTTTGGCTCCACAGGCTGGTTCTGGCCTGTGGGCCATAGATTGCCAGCCTGCCTGAGAGAGTTTCCTCCTCTTGCCCTTTTACTTAGGCCCTTCTGCTTCACTGACAGTACCAGCATCTTTTGCTGACTTTTCCCACGGGGGTGCGCATGTTCATTCAATCTGCTCCTTACCCATCAAAAACTCCCATGAAAACACACTACATTTCTCTTAGTAACACTTTGAGACTAACCAAGTGTGGTGTCCACTGTGTTTTGATACTCAGTTGACACTGCTGACAACTAACCAGCCTGTCTTAACAATGAAAGTCTCTGGTATGTACAAAATAGAATAAAGGTCATTCTTCCTTTATTCATGGTTGTGAGCAAGAACCACTTTGGGAAATAAGAGAGACTACTTTTGAGTTGTTTTGCAATAGCTTAGATATACTTTGCAGATGTTAAGACCTAACTTTTTCCTCACTATTAGGCATGTCGTGGAGATAAACATGATGAGGCAGTTTATGCACAGGATGCAGTGGACTATGCGTTAGAAGAGCCAGACAGCAACATAACTGAAGTAGATGCAGCTGGTGTCTATACATTACCTGCTGGTGCAGACTTTCTAATGTGCTACTCTGTTGCTGAAGGTAAAGCATTACTTTGCATTTAAACTTCTAGAATTCAGTTGTTGTGGGTGTCTTACACCTGTATCAGTGCCACTTTACTGAATGTAGTAACTTTCCAGAGTTTCTTCAATCCTGCAGCCAGTAGAGCTCACTTTCCACATCTGCATTGTTGGCACTGTACCTGTCAGGCAGCGGCAAAATATATTAAATATGTCCATTTGAAAATTAGTTTGTATTATAAAATATTCCAGTTTTATTCTGGCCACTGAGCTACCTCAGCAAATGTTCTTTAGCATTTCTGGACTCATGTGATTTTTTATTTTTTTGTAAAGCTTCCACACATTTGTCTGGATGCTCTTAGTGATAATGCATTATTGTCCCAGTTCTGTCTGCTCTCCTGTAATTCAGTAACAAGTAAACTTAAAAAGCTTTCTGCTGTAGGATCAGAGTTCCACTCAACTAAACTTTTCAATCATTATTTAAAAAGCATAAAGAATGAATAATACAATAGTCTTATTGGAACACCACTGAAATCACTCTTGACAGAAATAGAATACCACTGACTAATAATTTCAGAGCTGAATTTTTTTTAATATGCAGATTTTCCAAGTTGCTGTTTTCATCTCTAAGACTTAAGTACCCAACAGCACATAAGACAGGCAGAGGTGTATATTTGAAATATATTCATATAGTCTATAAGAAAAGTCATGAATAATGAGTCCTGAATCCTGAATGTGGTGTTGGTTTGACATTTTTAGTCTTATTAAATGTAAGTGCGGTCCTGTGTGTTTGTTCTGTAATAGGTTACTATTCTCATCGTGAAACTATAAATGGTTCCTGGTACATTCAAGACTTATGTGAGATGGTACGACATTATGGTTCGTCCTTGGAGTTCACGGAACTTCTCACTCTGGTTAACAGGAAAGTATCTCATCGCAAAGTAGATATGTGCAAAGACCATAGTGCAATAGGCAAGAAACAGATTCCTTGTTTTGCTTCCATGCTGACTAGAAAGTTGTACTTTCCTCCAAAGTCCAAGTAGAGATGTGTAGCGGTGAGAGCTACATCTCATTTTACAGGCACTCCAAAATATGAAAAATATTTCTTCTTGTTAATCTTAATTTACACTGGGTGAACGGTTATACTGTTTTTCACTGCAGTTACAGAACTGCGGAGTTATTGAAACTAGGGGTGCACCAATAAAGATTTTCTTAGCCAATACCAATAGTTGATAATTAACCAGCCATGGTGGACGATGTCTATCCGATAACCGATATTTAGTAATAGTGCAAGGCATTTTAAACTATTGACATAAATAAACCTTTTTTGTTTTTTTTGCATTTTTAATACGTACATGCCTCCCTGCTCTGGCCCTTCATGAGGAAGGCGGTGACTACCTTATTCCCACACACATTGCCCCCTTCCCCATGGCTCCTACCCACAGCCCTGCTCCTGCACAGCCTGCACTGCCATCCCAGGTAGGTTGGGCGGACTGTTACGCAGACAGCGGCATTGGCACATTTGGGGCCCGAGCACACCGCTGCTTCAGTGCTGGCAGGCCCCATGCAACCGAGATCCCACAGCTGCTGGGGAGAAACC